AAATATCCTTCTAGTTTATTAGTATTATTATTTATAGATACTCCATGTTTTCATTGTACTATGCTCTCAACTGAATTAGTGTTCTGCGTGTTAGGAGTTAGAACTAGTGACAGACCGGGACCGGCCTGGTACCCGGCCTAGACCGCCACTTGCGGTACTGGCCTGGCCCGGTTGACCGGGACTGGGCCTAGGACCTGACCCCGAGGGTGTTTTGGGGGCAGGCTTGGGCAGTTGGGCTGCAGCCCCCTTGAAACTGTCTGGGCCTAGGACCTGACCCGAGGGTGTTTTTTGGGACCGTCTGGGCCCCCTTTTTTTGGTTTTTTTTGGATGGTTTGGGCAAGAGGCGGGTTGGGGCTGGGTGGTTTGGGGGGGGGGGGGGGGGGGGGGGGGGGGTAGAGTTAATAAGCAAAAACCAAAAAAAAAAAAAATAGTACCCGACTCGGTCTCGGAACATAGTCAGCCGTTACTGGGCCTCCATGACCCTAACCCGGTCCTGCCCTAAGCCTGACTCGGACCTGGTCCCGACTCGGGATTGGTCCATCTCTAGTTAGAACACCGTATCTGACGCCTGATGAGGCTGGGAACGTTTTCTGTTTTGCGTCACAACAAATGAGTAAAACAAAATGCGCCTCTAACCAGAAGTCCAGAACTGTTGACAAATGACAAGTGTCAGAGCGGCTCAAATTTTTTTCACTGAAATTTCATTTATTTCATTTATTTGGATAACAAATGAAAAATGTTTGGTGTACATGTTTTTTGTGTACAACTTTAACACACTTGTCTTTCTATGCAGTTATTTGGTGTATACATACAATTGTATTTGCGTAGAGAGACAAATGCGTACACAAAAACATCCATACTCAACATGTTGAGAAATTGGACGTGGACTTTGAGATTGGATGAGATTATTTCATCCATGCGCAAAAATATATGTTTCCTTCTAAAACCTTAAACAGACTAAGAAGTTGTTCTCTTCACCTGATCTGAATGTTTCTGATCTGAATTTTTTAAGTTCTGAACTGATCTGATCTGATCTGAATTTTTCTGATATGATCTGATCTGATCTGAATCTTTTTGATCTGGTCTGATCTGATCTGAATCTTTCTGATCTGATCTGAATGTTACTGATCTGATCTGAATGTTCCCGATCTGGTTTGAATGTTCCTGATTTGATCTGAATGTTTCTGATATGATCTGATTTGAATCCTTCTGATCTGATTTGAATATTTCTAAAATTATAAATATAATTTTAATTTTAATTATTATAATTAGAAATGTAATTACACATATATAATTTAAATATAATTATAATTATAATCATAATTATAAAAAAAATTATAATTATAATTATAATCATAATTATAATAGGTATAATTATTATACGTATTACACTAGTTATAAATATAGCTATAATTAGAGGAAGCGGTCCAGATCAGCTGGTCGCCTATTTACTCTCCCTTATGGGAGGTCTCGGGTTCGAAACTCAATGAGGTGAGAACCTAGTTTACTTCAGGTCCCCCCAGACCCCCTCCCCTAGACGGCTCCTGCAGTAAACAAAAAAAAACTATAACTATAATTTTAATTATATTTTTAGTTATAATTATTTCTATAATTATAATTTTATTTATAATTATAATATTTATTTCTATAATTTTAATTGTAATTACTCCTTGTAACATAACAATAATAAAAAAACTAATAACAACAACAACCATAATAGTAATAAGAATAATAATAATCATAATAATAATAAATATTATAATAATAATAATAATAATAATCATATTAATCATAGTAATAATGATAATAATAATAATAATATCAATAATAATAGTAATTATAATAATAATTACAATAACAACAAGAATAATAATAATAAATTAATAATAATAATAATAATAATTATTATTATTATAATAATTATTATAATAATAAAAGGGATAAATCATGTCCGAACTTTTCTGGTCTGATCTGAATATTCCTGATCTGATCTGAACGTTCCTGATCTGATCTGAATGTTTCTGATCTGATCTGAATGATTCTGATCTGATCTGATCTGAATCTTTATGATCTGATCTGATCTGATCTGTTCTGAATAAAATAAGAATAAGCAATAAGTAATAAGCTTAAGACGAACATAACAACTTCTAATTATCAAACACGAGTGTGAAAGATGGAAATTATCAAAGTTAATTTCCATCAAAAAAATAATTAATACATTTTCCACTAATAGATAAATAAAAAAATAAATAAATAAATAAATAAATAAATAAATAAATAAATATATAAATAAGTAAATAAGAAATAAATAAAAATATAAATAAATATAATGTGTTTTTGCTGGATAGTCATCAATAAATAAATAATTTAGAAAATCAAGATCTTAATCTTGGTCTTTAATCAATAGTTTTCAACTAGTAGAGTCCTAAATTAAAAAATTACAATTTCATAGATAATAATTTTTTCGCAGATTAAAAATCCAATTTTATAGATATCTAATATTCTAATTCTGAATTTCCCGATCTATTGTTCTATTGATTTTTGAGGTATAGAATGTGTTTTTTCTTTTTACCCTAGAAAAATCCGTGGTGTGCACAAAATGTGTACACTTTTTTGTACACTAATCTGTCCTCCACATACAACTAATTTACCGGACCATTCCGGACTTTTCCCGAGCCCAACTGCCCAAGACCAACCAGTGTGCGCGGGCGCACGTATAGCGCGCGTAAGCCCACCCGAGCACGCGACTGTCATCCGCGCGTGCACCCTAATTCTAAAAAAGGACAGGCCACATCCTTAATATGCAAGCAACGTGTCTCTAAAGAAATCAAGTCTTCCGACGTGGCAGTGATCGCCATTCGAATTCCTCCACCTAGCTGTTCCCACACACGTGCCATCATCTTCAACGTTCCCAGACTCGAGCCTCTTTAAAAACCGCCTAGAATGTCCTATAAGTTCAACTTATTAATTGATTTCCTCATTATTATTATGCCGCACACAAAAATGGCGAAGAAGGGGAAGAATCTGAAGGAATCTAAAATGAATCCTGAATGGGAGGTCATCGTCCTAGTCTCCAACCATCTCTGTCCAAAGACACTGTCCCTAGCCGCATGCGTCTCCAAGCTATGGCACCTTTGCATGTCCTCCGACCATGTATGGCAACCCATCCTCGCCTCAACTTACCCTTCTCTGTCCTCGCTCCGCCTCGCCGACCCCACCGTCCCTTACCGTCGACTCTACGCCCTCGGGCACGCCTCCGACAAGCGGCGCGTGCAGAACCAGCAGCCAAAGCCCCCGGTCATCTCCCTCTCTGACGTCATCTTCTCCGTCACCGTCTTCCACCGGGACTCTCCCCTCCTGTCCTTGGTGAAACCCGGGAGAGAGCTCGGGATGCATGGGGATGGCATTTTCCTGTTCGACCTCGAGGCTGCGGGGGACGAGCGGAGGTTGCGGCGCGTGGAGGCCGATGGGTTTCCGCATGACGTGAGGGTTACGTGGGAAGCGGTGTTGGAGGGTTATACATGTAAATTTACGATGTTGGAGTGCGGCGGTGACAAACGGCCATTCGTGTCCGGGATGGAAGCATGGTACTCGGAGGCGTTACCGTCCCCGGGGTGCTGCCCGTGCTCGAACGGTACTGTCAGCGGGCTGGTAGCGGATCTGAGGTTGGGGTGGAAAAAGGAAAGTTGTGGGAGGGTGTTGGTGGAAAAGATTAGTTTAGGGGTCATGAGTGTGGCCGGATGGAGATATGTTCAAGTGGTTGATGTTCTTAGATACTTGCAGCATTTTCTCTTAATGTAATTAACTTTCAGTTCAATGTTCTTTCTTTTTTGGGTGTACCAGTGCATATATTTGGAAGTTAATACTACGTATTTTGTTAAGAATTGGGTACAATCTAAAACATTAAACTTAATATATTCTTAAATAATTGCATCACTTTCTTAAATAATTGGGAATTGGGATGAAGGGAGTATAATTCAGAGCTAGAAATCCCTTAATTTACTTCATTCAACTTTGCAGATAAGAGAACCTGTACATTATTGTTCTTAACTGCAGCAGAAACAGGATTCTGCCAGCCTGGAAATATTAGTTGACTCTGTGTAGAAGATGTCAATTTCGACCGACCCGTTGGATACCCGCACCAAACCCATTTGGTCAAACCGGGGAAAACCGGTTTGACCGGGGAATGGGTACGGGCGGGGAATATCTGAATTTTTTAAATGGTCCGAATTTTTTAAATGGTTAATGGTGCGGTTATGATTCTATACTAATCCGTCCCGTTATCCACCCCGTTCACTAATGATGTGGGTACCTGCACCGTTACCCGATCCGTAACATTATTAATGAATTGTAACTTTTTATATATAAGAATAATAAATATATATGCTAAATTGTGTATACCAAATAGTATATATGGAGTATCATATAAATAATGCTAAAAAGTAAACTATGAGTACCTTTTTAGGTCTAAAACTAAATATAGGCCTAAACCTCATTTTAGAATTTGGATTCTCTAATGATTTCTATTTTTTATTATGTTACAAGAGACATTAGGTGCATGTCATACTAATGAATTTAGGCCAGTCTGCTTGATTGCTTAAATAAATATTTACTTTTGTATGTTTTAAATTCTTTGAATATATAAATAACAAGTAGGATTAGAAATTGGTTATTTGTTTTCAAAACAAAATTGGTTATTTGGTATCATTTGGGGAAACGGTTACCCCTGGATAAACCGATTCCTCGTTGGGGAGGGTACGGTTCAAATAAAAATTACCCAAACGGGTAATGGGACGGTTTTGGGGCAAACATTTATCCAACGGGGCGGTTTTGATTTTATGTGTACCCATCCCCGATCCGCCCGTTGCCCTCACTAACTCTGTACAAATTTGTACCATACTTTTGTGTTCCAGGGCTGTTCAACTAGTTTGAACTTCACGGCCATTGATGAATCTTGAATGCACTCATAAATTTTGATGAATTATATCGTGTCATGTATCCATTAGCACAGTAGAAATACTCTACTCAAAATTGTAATTACTTCAAATAGATGTAAAATATGCAAATATGAAATACTAGTACATATCAATCACTTGACAACATATTCACACATTTTAACATATTCAATCATACAGAATTTCAACAAAGCAATCAGTTGAGGTTTAAGAAACTGGAACAAAGAAAATCATGGTAACAAAGCATTGATCCAGGAAGGGGGTTGAGAAATCTATGTGTCAATTCCTCTGCATCTCATGATCTCAACTCCCAAGTAGTCAACGGATCCTTGGACTGCAACATGTGGCTTCCCTAACTGTACTCGCACAGCATTTACCTGCGGGTATCTGCTTAGTGTTGCAGATGAGATGTGTTCCGCCACACTTTCAAGCAGATTATGTGCTGATCCCTCCACCACCTCTTTCACTATGCTGACAGATTCATAGGTGGAAATGATCATTTTATAAAATAAATACGAAATAAATAAAAGTTGCTCAATAAAAGTTGATCAAAAGCCCAATCTTTAATTACAGAATTACACTAAAGCATATGTTCAGAATAATATTACAAGACACAATATTAATGAGATCAAAATTGTACGAAGTAATTATAAACCGAAAAGCACACATAGTTTATTTGAACCTTTAGATATATACAAGGTGTGGATTAAATGAAAACCATTCTTCCCATTAAACTGCAAACCATTCATTTGTTCTCCAATGTGATACACCAATGTGATGCAGTATTAGAAACTATTAGGTTTCAGGGTTGGAATTTTTCATATTGATAGAAAACGTCGACTTATTTACCAAAATGTCACCGCTTGACCAAAGTTCAAAATGTGTAACAGACTATCCTAAAGTAAATCACATTGGGGAAAAAGTGAAAAGTTTGCAGTTTTCATGTTAAGGGTGGTTTTTATTTGATCCAAAACCTGGATACATAAACTGGAGCTTAATTACAAAAAAACTATAGCTAGATTATGGTGTGCCTCACTCAGCCTTAGCTGCCGGTGAATTGTGAAAAAAGTTGAACTGCCTAATGTCCTCTACAATAGTTTCATCTGTTTTGTTGTCCGAATTCATCTAGGCATAAGAGGGCAACAATTGCGCTCCTTACCATTGGATATACAAAAAGCATACGAATAATGGAAAGTCTCTGGTTTAAAACATTTATCCATTTAGTTCATCTTTACATAACCACTGCGACTACATCTATCTCAAGTTGAAGTACCATTTAAAGAATACTTGAAAAACTAAGAGAAACAGCTTATAATTTACTCACCGGTAAACATCAGTATAACTCAGCGTATCTAACAGCTGGTCAGACTTACCGGCTGCTCTAAGGTCCATCCAGACATCCATATCCACTACAAACTTCTGGCCCAAAGTCCTTTCTTCAGCTTTCACTCCATGGAACCCATGGAATTTTAAACCCCTTAAGACCAGTTTGTCTCCTTTTGGACTACCTACCCCTGCTCACCATAAGAATGTGTCATAAAAAAAGAGAATTGCACTCTGCATCCATTTTTTTCGGTTCAAATTTGAGTTGCACACTTGCACCATATTCAAAATCATTAATATTGCACTTTTAGTTTAAAAAAATGGTTTAAAATCTGGTGCAAACCCCAGTTAGAAAAAAAGAGGTGTAAACTTGAATTGTTAGAGTGCAGATATCAATGGTATTGAAAGAGAGTTCAAACTCAAGCACTCCCTAGAACCTAAAAGCAAATCACTAATATGGTGAGTATACAATGATTACTTTTGCATATTCATCCATACTCACAAGCATGTAATTGTGTTTCAAAGAGCTGCTAGTAATATAAATGTACACTAGAAAAATGTGTGTTCTTGTCAAACACATACCCTGTGTTTGGATGTATAGCATGTATAACACTATAACATATCCACAGATATTGTGTATGATATGGAGAAAATATTTATAATTGAAGAAATCGTGAAATTATCATCCTCCAAAGTAACAAGACTACAAGAGTTACTTAATGAACAGAGTTAAATAAAAAGCAATAACTAACTCGACCTAAACCATTCAAATTAATCAAATGATGAATCTATCATCCTCCAAAATATAAATGAGATTAATTAACTACTTTAATCGATCTTCTATTTTGTCATTGATTTATCAATCATTTTTTTCACATATCATCAACGAGTCCTAAAATGTATTGGAATTGTTAAACCCATTTTTATGGAACACCCTGATTTGACTTATTAAGAAAAACAGAGTGAAACAGCAACAAATTAAACTGAATGCCTAATTTGACATGAATACTGAAATGCAGATTAAAACAAAACCGATGATTTAGTCATTTACCGGAAACTAGAGGACGGCCGTCTATTGAAGAAGGGGGTAGTTGAACTGACGCCATGGGATTGCGATCGAAGGCGTCTCCAGTAGACGTCGAGACATCTTCCATGGTCGCTTCGTCGGAAAGCGGGGTCAACGACGGTTGATGTTCAGACCAATCACGTATGGAGTTTCTGGCTCTGCAACTGAGAACTTTGGGCAGTGAGGTCGACTCGAAGGTACTCCGTATTATTAGTCACACCAGCTCCTTATCTTTTTAGTTAGGAGAATTTACCCCAAATAGGACTAAAAAGGTTTGAAAATTCCAAAATGGGACTGTCATGTTTTTATTCCCGAAATAGGATTAATTATTGTCATGTTTTGGCAGTATCAGACTTCAAACATGGCAGTATTTTCCAAACTTGACAGTAATTACTCCTATTTTGGGAATAAAAAACATGACAGTCCTATTTTGGAATTTTCAAACTGTTTTAGTCCTATTTCGGGAACTTTCCCGCCTCAACTTAACTTAATAAGCATCATTGAGTAAAAATATGAAAAGAAAGGGGAATCTATTTTGATAACAATTCAACAAGTCCAGTCTCTATTCAATTGGCCTTCTCCCCAAACTTATTCGTGCATACTAAAACACATCACCTCACTATATAGAAAACACAAGAGCCAGAAAACAAGCCGAATTTAAGTTGCATAATGGTCCAAGGTCATTTAAGTTGCAAATAAATTACACGTAAGAGCATAAATGACATATCTTTATCAAGATTCAGCCCTCTATCTAGAGTGGGGGTTTGCAACCATAACTAAGGAGCAGTGGATCTAATACATAAAGTAACATCAGTTGCAACATAGGAGTGAAATACAGAAATAAATAGTACTACGTATAAATGTTTTATAGGAATAATAGTTTTCATCAAAGTCACATAAACAATAAAGTTAATAAATTAGTACTACACCAGCTCATGAGAATATGTGAAAATGACAAGCAAAATTCACATAGGCAGATTAATACGTAGTACAAAATTCACATAGGCAAATGTAATTGTACATTTGTATATAGTCATATTGGCTAAAGCAAGAAAGACAACAACAACAAGAACAAGGGCAGCAAGCCAGCAATAAAAAAGGCTAAAAATCTAAAATACCAGTTAGAATACATTCAAAGGCTCAACTAAAGCTGAAATTAAATTAAAACAAAAATAAAACACAAAGTAAAATAAAGCCGAATAGGAAACAAAAAATAAAGCTTAACTATATGAATTATATTAAAAGTGAAAGTCAAATGCTGAAAATCTAATACATACCTGCAAATCGGAAACCAGCGTACGCAGTCAGGCCGCGATTCAGCGAGCAGCCGAGTAGCCGAGCAAGCAGGGACGGAGGGCGGAGCCGCGGATGCCGGAGGCGCAGCTGGCGCTGTGTGGGAAGGTAACGGCTGCGCACGTCTCGTTCAGTCGTGCTTTTCTGCTGAAGTGCTTCAGTTCGACAGACTGCCGTCAATTGACGATCTCAGGGGTTGGGTTTTGACGACGTGGCACGGAGTATTTTTTTTTAAATAAAAAAGTTAAAACTTTTTGCCAAAAAAGGTATAATTGGATAGGTGAAAATTTATAAATGGAAAATAGATATAAATGAAATGCAATTAGAAAAATGGATAGAAGTGCACATTTTATTTTTTTATTTTTTACTCCAGGGTCGTCTGGGGGACGAAGGGGCCTTGAGTAATCAGGGCTGAAACTCACTCCATTGAGTTTCGAACTCGAGACCTCCCATAAGGGAGACTGAGTCAACGACCAGTTGGGCACCTGGGCTAAACCGCTTCCTCTATTTATATACTACTTCCTCCGTTTCAAAATATTTGACAATTTCCTTTTTAATAAAAGATTTTGTGATTCTTGATATTTTTTTCTCTTACATACAAATTTTGGGCACACAACTTTTATATTATTATTTTTCGTGACACTCAAATTTGACAAAGTTTTAATAGACAAAACATATTATTATTACTTTTGTGTGGGCCGCGACCCTCAATATCTCAAATTTAAATCCGCTCGTATTTACTTTGAGCTCATGTTCGTTGATAATGAGTGTTGGTGCACCACCGTGCTTTTATTATTCTAATATAATTAATACTTTCTTCGTTCTTTAATTCTTGCAACATTGTGATTTTTACAATATGCATAGACCTTACTTTGGTCACAAATTTCTATTAATATACATAAGCAAATTATTACGTATAAAATGTTATTGAATTCCTATCAATGTGAATTTCCAAAATATCAACTTTTTATAATGTTTATTAATACATAATTAAATATAATTACAGTCAAAGTTGTGCATTGACAAGCGTGATAGTTAAACTGTTGCAAGAATTAAAGAACGGAGGGAGGATAGTATTAGCCAATTTACTCTATAAGCTAAGGGCAATGATAATGACTTCTTTATACTAATACGTATGTTTAAAGTGAAATTACTCCGTATGAATTATGATGATAAATGTGTAGCGTCTTCAACACGCGGGCGTCGTGCCTTCGACCTTGGCAGGCAAAGTCAATGGGAATAGAGTTTTGATCTCCATGTAGAATTTGCTTTGTGGATTGGTCAATGATTATCCATAGTTCATTTGAAATTATGGCCCATAGGGCCCAATCCTGTGTACTTGAGGCGAAAGGATAGAAGGGGATGCAATTCATTCTTCACTTTGGGAGTTTGGGTTCGGGTTTTTATGTTGATGTCAAAATCCACACTTCCCAGTGCTTGAGAGAAGTAACCTGACTAAATAAACTATTTCGCTTACTGTCGAAGTTGGAGTCCGTTAATATTTTGACAATTATCATTGTCTCTTTATGTCCCTAATAACTAGGGCAATCATATGGGAGAAAACTCTATCTCAAGTCCCAATATCAAATATACTATGAAGGTCCCCTAAGTGTCTTTACTAGGTTGTTGATTATATGTAATAGCTAGTGTGCCTTCACCCTAACTTTTCATCTTGAAGTACGATCATCTTGTGGTATTTTAGTAAGTAATCCATAGTCGTTGATAATGTTTGGCACGCCTTGACATGCATGGTGTGGGGTGTGTAGGCGTACATTGCTTCATCAGAAGGGGTGTGATGCAGGCTGGACACATGTAATGACGCCTTGCCTTCGTAATGATTATTGGCAAACAACTTCAATTAGTCACACTCATTATCCATGGCTCTCTGTTGAGTTACTTTATTTCTCCTCATTTGAGTTTTATGATGTCAATCATTGCACCATATTGCTACCGAATTTCAATAGCCTTCTCAATTATTCTTCGATGTTCTTTGTAAAAATATGTTTTTCATACGATCGAGCTTCACATTTTTCCACATCTTTTGATTCAATTCGTCTTAATGTAGTTGTATTTTTTCCCAATTCATCAAGAACATTTACTAGTCCTCTTCCAAATCTTTAAACCTTCACTCACTACAAAAAAACACTCCATTACCAATGAAATTTCCAACAGATTTAATTACAAAAGTCATTGGAAAAACATCGTTCCAACGGATTTCCAATGAAAACAGTCCACCGGTATATAGTGGTTGGAAACTTTTGTGACGATCCTTTCCGACGGAATGATTGAAGTTCCAACGGTTTTCCGACGGACAATGTCGTTGGAAATTTGCAACAGATTTCCAGCGAAAAACTTTCGTTGGAAACCAACTACACGTATTTTTATACCTACCAACGGATTTTCAACAGATCATTTTGTCGGAAAAAGTAGAAAAAATATTAAAAATCTGGCTATTAAATCGACTTCGATTTGTTTTTAGCGTATAACGGTGGTTTTGGAACCCAACACATAAATTGCAAACAATAGATTTCACACCAGAAATTACTCCAAACATGTAAACACAATATCTGAATTTATGAATGCATAAAACCCGAACTTTAACATACAAACTAGAGTAAATCGTTCATTGCAACACACATAAAATATATCAACTGGTGGTTCACAACAAAATATTAGAATACAATTCTTCAATGCTATTTTTTATCTGTTCGAGCTGAGGTTGATGAAGAACATCCTTCAACCATGATGAACACAGCCCCAGGTGGCGAAGAGCCGACATCGAGGTGCCAAACCTTCCCGTCGATGTGAGCCCTTGTGTAAAATGCACTCTTGATATCAGATTCTTCAACTTGAGTATATATATAAGTGTTGTTCAACTGCCGAAAAACAATCATACTTGAATTATAAATAATAAAACAGAAAAATTATGCACACATAATAAAACTATAAAATGCAAAAATGAAAAACTAGCTTCTTATTACCGATGTATAAGGCCAAATCAGTTTTTACTTTTTATGAGCATGTGAAGCATCTCTTAAAAGGGGGTGTTAAAGCTCGTATAAAAAAAGATGATTTTTTTATAATAAATATCAACTTGAAGTTCATTGCTTCTAAAGGAGAAGATGTAGCAATCTCCAAGAGATGGATGTGTGATTTCTTAGCTAGTCAGCGAGGGCCACTAGTTGCTTGAGAAGGGGCGTGACGCACAAGGAATAGCAGGTAGTCGATTCTTGCAGTGAGGTTTTCATCCTTAAGGTTTGATTCGTGAGATTTGAGGCTTTGACTCACTACATAGAGAGGGAGTAGCGGAAGGAGTAGTAATAAAATTTCCACATCTCCGATGGAAACCTAAAAAGTAAAGATGGGAAAAAAGCGACTGCATTCCAACGGATTTCCGACGGAAACTACAAGTGAAAGTTTCCAACGGAGTTCCAACGACCCCCCAACGGCTTTGCAACAGAATTCGAATGACCTTCCAACGGATTTCCAACCAGTGTTATCCGTACACAAAGTTAAAATTTTCGAACGAAATTGCAGCGGATTTCCAACGGTGAAGTTGGAACTTCGTTGGAAACCCATTGGAAAGTTTCCAACAGAAAAAAATGGTTGAAAAGTTCTGTTGGTCTACTCTAACTTGATTATGTTGTAGTGTCTTTAACCTTTGATGATACCAATTAGATTACCTTAGAGGGGAATATGTCCGCATTTAGGTATGTAATCATATTCCATCTATTCATGTATTTGTATTCAATGGTACAATGTGTACGGTGCACACGTGGCATGAAAGATGACCACATAAATATTAGTAAATAAATTATTTATCTCCTTATTTGAATGATTTTATACAGTTTTGTTAAGTTTTTCTCCACAATGTCAAGGAGACCGTCTAATGTTGACATTGTTGTTGACATTGCAGGGAAAAACTTACCAAAATTGTATAAAATCATTCAAATAAGGAGAGAAATAAGTCATCAAAATTATCATCATTAATCATAGTAATAATGATGATAATAATAATAATAATATCAATAATAATAGTAATTATAATAATAATTACAATAACAACAAGAATAATAATAATAAATTGATAATAATAATAATAATAATAATAATAATAATAATAATAATAATAATAATAATAATAATAATAATAATAATAATAATTATTATTATAATAATAAAAGGGATAAATCATGTCTGAACTTTTCTGGTCTGATCTGAATGTTCCTGATCTAATCTGAATGTTCCTGATCTGATCTGAATGTTCTTGATCTGTTCTGAATGTTTCTGATCTGATCTGAATTATTCTGATCTGAATGATTCTGATCTGATCTGATCTATTCTGAATAAAATAAGAATAAGCAATAAGTAATAAGCTTAAGACGAACATAACAACTTCTAATTATCAAACACGAGTGTGAAAGATGGAAATTATCAAAGTTAATTTCCTTCAAAAAAATAATTAATACATTTTCCACTAATAGATAAATAAATAAATAAATAAATAAATAAATAAATAAATAAATAAATAAATATATAAATAAGTAAATAAGAAATAAATAAAAATATAAATAAATATAATGTTGGTCATCAATAAATAATTAATACATTTTTGCTGGATAGTCATCAATAAATAAATAATTTAAAAAATCAAGATCTTAATCTTGGTCTTTAATCAATAGTTTTCAACTAGTAGAGTCCTAAATTAAAAAATTACAATTTCATAGATAATAATTTTTTTACGCAGATTAAAAATCCAATTTTATAGATATCTAATATTCTAATCCTGAATTTCCCGATCTATTGTTCTATTGATTTTTGGGGTATAGAATGTGTTTTTACTTTTTACCCTAGAAAAATCCGTGGTGTGCACAAAATGTGTACACTTTTTTGTACACTAATCTGTCCTCCACATACAACTTATCTACGGGGATAGAGTGATAGACGAGTGTACAAAAGAATGTACACATTTTGTGTATATCTCGTACTAGGGGTGGGCATAAAACGCGAACCGAACCGGTACCGAACCGCCCCATAATGGTACCGAACCGAATACCGGGTATTTAAGCGGTTCTATATATTTTTACCCCGTACCGAAACCGTACCGTTTGAAACGGGTACGGGACTGGTCCTAGATTTTGAGAACCGAAAAATACCAGACCGAACCGTTTGTAAATAATGAACTTGAATTTT